CTATATCTCCTTAAACTGGGAACTTGTATTTTCTCAGCTTGGTTGGAAGCCAGAAAGCCCCAACTTGGAGCTGGGGCTATGGGTGTGTGAGACACCTAATTGTGTGACTGCTGAGACCTAAATTCCAGCCCTTGTGAAGATTGTGCAACAAGCGCCTGTAACCACCGAGCCTTTCTCCAGCTAACAGCATGTAGTAGCATCTGCTGGGCCAGGGCCTTTGCCAAATGCTGAGTTCACTTTTGTGTTTGTATGATATGGGTGTGGCTACACCTTGCCTTGGCAGATCTGAAAACCTCTATCTCTATCTGCCCCTGTCTACTTTGTGTCTAAGGCATAGCATGTTCATTTGGATCTATTCTCAATTGTTCTTCACACCATCTCCCCAAGTTCTTGTGCTGGGATGGTCAGGGGTGTCAGTGGCTTAGATATGGTAGCATCCAAGCTGGCAGCTCCAGGGACCTGCTTTATTGCTGTTCCTGTTCTGCACAGCCTGTGTGGGCTGCATTGGTCCTATCTGTGTCCTGTTCCCTAAAGGCCTTTCTCTCTGCTATATACTCCAGAACTGGTACCATGAAAGCTCCTGGCTCTGAGGAGGCTGAGAAATGTAAAATTTTTGTCTGGGTCCAGTTGCCACTGAGAACAGAGAGAAGCTACTAGGCCCCAGTGTAGTGTCTGCCATAAATAAGGCTGGCTACCCTGAAATAGTTTGCCCAGCTCTCCTGGAGGCCCTAGGCCACCTAGGTTAAAAAGTTTTCCCATGGTCTTATATGTGTCTTCAGTGGGACTCATGGGCCTGTCTGAAACTCTGAATACATCATCATGTCTGGGGGACAGGCCAGGGAGCCAGAAAACTGCAAGCTTTACCACAAATCAGAGTTGGGGATGGTGCTCAGATCTTGGCCCTGGGGTAAGCAGTGATCTACCCATGTCTGCAGGAGGACATTGCGAAGCTGCTACGGTATGAGTCCTCAGCCCTGCCTGCTGGGCAGCTGACCAGTCTATCAGACTATGCCAGCCGAATGCAGGCTGGCACCCGCAACATCTATTACCTGTGTGCCCCTAACCGTCACCTGGCTGAGCATTCACCGTACTACGAGGCCATGAAGCAGAAACAAACAGAGGTGGGTGGACTCCGGCCTGCAGCTAGTCCAAGAATGGTATCTTAGAGGGTCTGAGCTCTAAGGGAAGGGCTTAACTCCCAACTCGTCATAAGAGAAAATGACTGAATGTGTTTGAGGGCTGTGTGGTGTAAGGCAGTCCCCTGTCTGTGATGTGCCTGTCATTAGGTAGATGAATAATGTGTGTATCTGTCACCAAGTCAGCAAGAGCCTCTCTTAGAAGCTCTGGTGAGCTGTGTCTCAGGCCCCAGAACCCCGGTGTCTGTAGCATCCCCTGTGCACTTTGGGCTAATAGGCCTGGACACCCGCAGGTACTCTTCTGCTACGAGCAATTTGATGAGCTTACTTTGCTGCACCTGAGGGAATTCGACAAGAAGAAGCTGATCTCTGTGGAGACAGACATCGTCGTTGACCACTATAAGGAGGAAAAGTTTGAGGATACATCTCCAGGTTGACTCCCATCTCTGTGGGGAATGGTCCCATGGGAATGTTGTGCAGGAAACTGTCACTTATCCCCCAAGGCCATCTTGACCTGCCATGAACACAGCATTCTCTTTCTCACTTGAATTTTAGTTCACCAGCCCATGCAGGAAGCTGCTTGGGAAAATCCTAACAAGCAGTGGGAACATCTAGGGTCCATGCATTACTGATGCTCCTCCTGTGGAGGTTCCTGCAATTGACCAGACTTTTGGAGAGAGGTGGAATTGCTCCCACCCCACTCCACCCCCTTTTTTAAAGATAGGTGTTATAGCCCAGGCTGGCCATGAACTCCTTATCCTCCCATCTCACTGCTCCGAGTACTGGGATTACAGTCCGTACTGCCATGGTTGGATTCAGATTTTTCTTTTTAAAGTCCTAAAAAAATTGCAGAGGACAGAAACGACCACAGGTTTTGTTCAAGGTGAAAGGCATTTCCAAGAGCCTCTGTCCCTGGTTCTGGTGAGGTAATATAGCTAGCAATAGCTCAGGAATGTGCTAAGTGGAGCCCACAGAGTGAGACAGTGGTTAGTGGGCCCTGGGCTCACTCACTTCTCTTGTACAGCTGGTGAATGCCTGCCTGAGAAGGAAACAGAAGAGCTAATGGCTTGGATGAGAAACGCACTGGGTTCTCGTGTCACCAACGTGAAGGTAAAGCCTCCCTGCAGATACTGGGAACTGCAGAGCCTGACTGTTCTAGCTTGAGATACTTGGCCTAGTGGGATCCATGGAAAGGCACTGAAGCCGGGTGGGAACGCCACTAGGCACTAGCATCTCACTGTCAAAGCTTTGTCTTACCTGGCACTGTCACTCTCAAGCCTGGCAGTCTACTGTCTCTGGACCCCAGTGAGGTTTAGGTCTCAGGGCGGGTGCTTCCAAAAAGCCGCCTCTGTCTCCTCTTGACCTTACCTGCTGAGGGCCTCATTGGAACACAAGGTTCGTGTTTGTGCCTCCTGTCATGAAGAGGCCTCACTTGACAGCTGAGGCTCTGGTCTCCTAGCCACTGGGGAGAAGGATCAGAGCCAGTCCAAGTCCATACCCCTTAGATGTCTAGCTGTGATCTTTGTTATCACAACCTGGACAAATTACTGGAGCAGTTGATATAGAAGCAGGTGCCACCACCATCGGGCCAGTCTGCCTTGTACCTGATGGCCTGGTTAACTTCAGACCCTGTCAACCCTGGGCCCCTCACTACTAGGTTCTTCCTCATCCTGGGCCTTGCTTGCAGGTGACTTTCCGCCTGGACACCCACCCTGCCATGGTGACGGTGCTGGAGATGGGGGCTGCTCGCCACTTCCTGCGAATGCAGCAGCTGGCCAAGACCCAGGAGGAACGTGCTCAACTGCTACAACCCACTCTGGAGATCAACCCCAGGTATGCCCAGGTCCAGCTCACAGCTGTCGAGGGCTCCTACAGATTGTTTGCGCCCAGGATCTTCTGTCTGGAGAGCATTTACAAAGCGTGGATGTTATGCTTGTGTGCCATATAAGGATGGCTCTAAGAGAAGGCCCTTGGAGTTAAGCAGAAGTTAAAAAGTGCTCACTGGAAGTTTAAATAGAACATTGCTGATCTAATTTGTTTCCCATTTTCCTACTAGAGTTCTGTTTCCTTGAGTTAAACTACAAAACTGACATTTTCTCACTTTGCCTGTTTTTTGTTTTATTTTTTGCCGTCTCTGTGCCCTTATAGCCACTTTTGGTAGTTGCCATTTTTTTTTTCCCCAAGACAGGATTTCTCTGTGTAACAGTCCTGGCTATCCTAGAACTCACTGTGTAGACCAGGTGGCCTTGAACTCACAGAGATCCGCCTGCCTCTGCCTCCCGAGTGCTGGGATTAAAGGCGTGTACCACCACTACCTGGCAGCAGTTGCCATTTTTAATGTTATGGGTATACGTGGCAGAGTACTTTTTTCAACAGTAACATTCATTGTGTTAAACCACCTTAGAACAGCTTACTTGTTTGACAGACATTTTGTGTGGCTTCCAGTTTGGAGCTGTTGGGAACAGGGTTGTTATGAACACACACTTCTCTAGGTTGTACGGTCCTTGGTGGTCCAGGCAGTGTGAGCTGCCTTTACCCTGTTCCCACAGAGTTCCCAGGTTCATGATGGGGTGAACACCTTGCATTTATTGATCTGACATAGAACCTGTCTTCTCAGACTTCTCTCCTACTGGGTTCTCTTCTTTAGTGTTCATTTGTAGTTAGTTTGTTTGAGATGGGGGTCTCACCATGTAGTGATGTCTTTCCTGGAGCTTGCTATGTAGACCAGGCTGGCCTCCAACTCACAAGAGCTCTACCAGCCTCTGTGTCACAAGTGCCAGCATTAAGGTGTACACCACTGTGCCTGGCTTTAATTTCAAATGTCTGTTGTCTTTTATTAATTAGGTGTATAGAATTCTGCATCTATGTATGCCTAGACACCAGAAGAGGGCACCAGATCTCATTATAGATGGCTGTGAGCCACCATGTGGTTGCTGGGACTTGAACTCAGGACCTCTGGAAGAACAGTCAGTGCTCTTAACCTCTGAGCCAGCTCTCCAACTCAAATGTCTGTTGTCTTAGGTATCTTTTGATGACAGTAAGATCTTGATTTTTATTACAATCAAATTTATAAATCTTAGTACTTTAGGGTTTCTGTGGAATCAATTCTTTCTAAAAAGCTCTATAGTTTAGGCTTTGTGGTCAGTTGGGGTTTTTGTTTTTCAAGACAGGGTTCACTGTGTAGTCCTGGCTGTCCTGGAACTAGCTCTGTAGACCAGGCTGGCCTTGATCTGCCCACCTCTCCCTCCCAAGTGTTGGGATTAAAGGTTCCACCATCACCACCCGGTGATGCTGGCACTTTTATGGTGATTGTTGTCTGGGTAACTTCTAGAATCTGGGTATTTTTTTATGCTAGACAGTCTAGACACATTATAGTTTTTAGCGTTCCAATAATCATAACAACAGAATCCCTGAGTTAGTGATGCTCAACTTGGGCTGATTTCCCTCTCTGTTTCTGTGATGCAGGCACACACTAATAAAGAAGCTCAGTCAGCTGAGAGAGCGGGAGCCGGAGCTGGCCCAGCTGCTGGTGGATCAGGTGAGGAGGACTGACTGCATTTCTTTGTCTGCCTTGCGGGTAGGAAGCTACTCTCTTCCTAGGGGTCACATGTAGGTCAGGCTGGACTTGAACCCCCATCCTGATTTTACTGTCCCATTCCTACGTTTCAGATCTATGAGAACGCCATGATAGCAGCAGGACTCGTTGATGACCCCCGGCCCATGGTTGGCCGCCTGAACGACCTTCTGGTCAAGGCCCTAGAGAAACATTGACAGCCCAGAGACTGCGCCTAGTATGCAACCCAGGTCTTCTCAGGTGACAGATGGAGCTGCCTGGGGAGGAAGGACTTGATATACAGATAATGCCACTGCTTGAGCTCAGCTTTATTTACCTCAATTAAACCGGATTTCTTAGTCCATATGGTAGTCATTCTGTCTGTCCTGGGACAATGGATCGCAGCAGCACCACACATGTCTGTGCATATGGCTGTGCTGCTTGATGACATCAGGTTTTCCTGAGTGTCACCTCCACTGGGTAATGGTCACTGATGGCTTCAGCCTGCAGAGGTGGGGAGGGCATGAGGTCAGAGCACACTTCTCCACCCCAGAAAGAGTGAGCAGGCAGGGAATCCTTGCTGCTCCTGACCTAAACCACCTCCACCCGCATCTCATGTGTCCTGACAGTCACAGTCACAGTGTCGGTTTGCTTAAACCACATAAAGGAAGGACACATACCAGCTGCTTGGTAAGGCCGTATGCTGCTTGAAAGTCAAAGATACCAACAGAGTTGGGAACAACAGCTCTCTGGAGCAGAGCTCCAGCAACCACGATCCTGCAGGACGCCAAAGGACAAGGTTCCGTCACCCTCTGCTTCACATAGTCTTGGATAACGGTTTCCAGGCCCTGGGGTCTAAACTTGATCCACCCAGGAGCATTAAGAGAGGGCCCTGCACTGGTGGGAACTAGCATGTGAGGGATACCCAGATGGGACCCTATCACCAGCAGCCATTCTGACAAGAAAACTAGGACCCTGTGAGCCAAAGTTTCTGCTCATTTGAATAGGAGACAGGGAGTGAAGGGTTGGTTGGCCATTGATTCTAAGGTTGGCCAAGCACATCCTGGCTGCTTACCTGTCATAGGCACAGTGTGTAGATGTGACAGTAGTGTCCGCACTGTCAGGGATCAGCCACTGGAAGACAGGGCTTGTCCGGAGGCGGATGGAAGACCATTCGGAGGAACTGACATAGCTGCAGCCAGCATTGAAATCTCCCATCAACATGACATCCTACGGGGAAACATGCCTGTTGGTCCAGTGACAAACAGGACCAATAGAACCCACTGTCCCTAGGATGGTCTCACCTCCAGGTTCCACTTTTGTCGGACATCCAGGTAAACGTCATAGAGGGCATCAATCTCAGTCACAGCATCAGTTGGGGCTGCGTGCAGAGGCACAATTGCAAACTCTCTGACCTCTGAGGAGACAGCAGACATGGTATCTAGAGACCAGCCTGGATTGTAGCTGGCTTGAGGATATACTGGGGCCCTCATGCAGGACCTGGCTTAGCTGTGGAGCAGCAATAGAGTGTGTGACAGTCTCTCAGAGGATAGGCATCATCCTTGTAATTGAATGCAAATTGAGAGCACTGGGAGCTGAGGCAGCCCTGCCACAGCCTTCTAGAGGTCTGAGTGTGAGCTGCAAGTTGTGACTCTGACTTGGCCTGGGCAGGGCTGAAAGTGGCAGCACTCACCCGTGAATGGGGAAAAGAACTTGACAATGGCCGGCTCTCTGCTGAGGGTGTCATTCCCACAGGGCTCACAGCCATCATCATAGTAATAGCTGTCCTGAACAGACACCTGGTCAGGCCTAAGGAAAGACCAGGCAGAATTTACTTCAGGGCTGGGAGCCACTCTCTCCAGCCTTCTAGAAGCTACTGTCCTGGGAGCAGGAGAGACTAGGTGTATACTTACTCACCATGACACAACAAGGCTAACCCAAGTCCTTGTCTTGTTACAAGCTGCGAGAGGCATCATCTGGCCTTTACCTTATCCTGTGGCCCTCTGCTCTTGCCCTGTAGTATACATTGCTACCGTACTCTTTAAGGGCCTCCCAAGTGAAAGAGGTATACCCTGGGCTTCCAGACCACCCTCAGCCTCTGCAGTACAGATTTTGGGTACTGTCTACATCCTGTGCTTGTATTCTCAGACTTTGACAGCGCGTGACTTTACCTGTACAAGAAAAGGTACTGTTCCTTGTAGCTGTTGCGGCCCAGCGGCTTACTGACCACATAGCGATAGGTATCAGGTTTGTCCCTGGATAAAGGAATCCAAAGATCCTTTGAGACCATAAAGGGAACCTCCTGGCAGCTGGTAGCAAGGTCCCATCCATGGAGAACAAAGGGAGTGAGGGAATGAGGCTGTTCCCCTGTAAGTGGTAGTAATATACACACTCCAGGACCCCAGCACTATCACCCACCAATTGAGTTCATCCAGTAGCTTCCCAACAGCCACCAGGTGGGTGTCTCTGACTTCTTGGACAACAGCGATGTCATAGCGACTCAGGATCTGGGGGCAGGGTCACAACAACTTAGCAAGACAGGCTGGGTGGACATCAGACAGCCAGAGCTGCTGCTGCTGTTCATGGCACAGTTCTAGCTGTAGCTTACACGCCTGTCACATATCTGCCAGCCATGGGCAGTGTGACAGTGACCTGGGCTGACAACCCTGACATCACCCAGGTACTGGTAAGGCCTGAATTTCATTGGCTTCTGTGGCCCTTGGGGAAGCGTCCACCTCTCCCTGGGGTCTGTCTGCTCTCAGGCATGGGCACCTGCACTTACTTTCACAATGTATCTAGAGATGGTGGCGTTGGACATCTTAGTCTCCCCGAAAGTCCGGATGTTGAAGGCTGCGATTCTCAGAGCTACAGCCAGCTGCAGCAGGCTGACCAGGGTGAACAGCACCCCCATTAGCCCTGTGCATCGCATCCTGCGAGATTGTGGGTGGTCAGGAGGAGGAAGCAGTGACCTTGCCACCCTCATCTTAACCTCCAAAGCCATCCTGTTCTCATGCTGTGTAAACACCAACTGGAAGACATCAATCCTTCCCTGCACCTTGTACCACAGGAAAAACCCTAGGTTTCCTCTCTTACTCACCTGAAAGCCAGTCCTGGGTGTAATCACAGGAGATAGCACTAACCAGAACAGATCTGCTCTGTTGGTGGGGTGAGTCCCCAAGTCCACTCTGGGACTGGCTGATAAACAAGAGAGCCTACTCCACAGATGACCAAGCCTGATATGGAGATGCCGGCAAAGATGGTGAGATTTCTGCCAAAGACCTGGGATATTCTGATACTAATTTCTCCTTTTACTTTTAAAGGAAAATTCTTTTTACAAAATGTATGAAGGAAAAAAACAAAAAGCAGTGTGCAGTTGCGGAGCTGCTAGCACTCCAGGTCACTGCTCAGGCATTGCCAGCCTGCCCTGCCCTGCCCTGCCAGTTTTAAAGGTTCAGGCAGTTATGACCTCTCCAGGGCACGTGTGTGCCCTTCACCTGAGAGCACAGAACAATGGGGTTGCCTATGTGGCCATCCCACTGGGGCCCTGGGCAAGCCAACAGCACGTGCTGACTTTAGCAGACAGACAGCCTCCTTGCAGCTGTAAAAGCAGTGTCTGATAATGTTTGTGCATGGTTATAAAGTGCCTGATAGTGCCCTTTGCCCATTCTGTCTTCACCACCAGGTATGGGCGGTAGGTGTGCTGGCTTATCTATTTGTGTCTGGTCTGTAACTAGAGAATGACTTCCAGACATGTTGTACATGGATTCCCAAGGCAGCTGCTCCACTCTGTGGCTTAGGACCAACCCCTCACCTCCCAAGCTACCAGAATCCCCCTAGCTGTCTATCTGTCTCCTCGTGCTGTGATTGCTAGCACATGCTGCCACACAAATCTTCCATGAGTGCTATGGATCTGACTCAGTCCTCATGCCCACTTAACCTTCTTCCCAGCTCCCTAAAGTTCTCTTTTGCCAAATAATAGGATGTGGACATCTTTTGGGATGCCATCGTTACCCCTCCATCAGAAGCTCCATGCAGGAGGGGTTGGCTCTCCAAGGACACTACCATGTTACAGGGACAGAACCTTCATTGGAAGGAAGAACTTGTGTACCCAGGGAGAAGTGGGTAGCTACAGGAGGGTTGGGGAGCCTAGAGGGAACAGGGTAGTCTAGAGGGCAGGAGTTGAAAAGGTTAAGGTCAGCAGAGCATAGCAGATCTGCCAGCTGGCCAGGGTGCCTGGCATGCAGGCCTAGAAGGAATTAATAAGAGTACAAAGGTAAAGACGCCTCCAGGAGGCCAATGTCCCAGTGGCACTGATGCACGTCTGCCCCTGTGTCTCTCACGTGGACAGTCTCAGACATGGAGTCACCCACCTGCCTCTGCAGCTGCCAGAAACCCCATCACCAATCTTTGGTTGAAACAGGGTCTCGGGTGGCTCAGGATGTGTATGTAGCCCAAGATGGTCTTCATCTTCTGATCCTCCTGCCTCCACCTTGCACATTCTGGGACCTGTGCTGAGATTACAGGCAGGCATGTGCTAGCTATGAAGAGCTGGGAAGCCAACTATGACCCAGCCCCATTCATAACTTCAAAACTATGCATGCCTGTGCTTCAGTTCTCAACTTGAAGCTGAACAGACTTAAGTGTGCCAACACTCAGTTCCCACCCACCCAGCAAGGCTGCTGTGGCACCTGGTGACTCAACACAACTCATATTTTTCTACTTTGTTCACACATTTGAGAGACCAATGGCAGGAATGGGACCAGACCTGGGGGGTAGCCAATGTGTTCAGAAAGGTAGCTTGGACTAGTAAAATCTGGCAGGTGTGGCTTTCAGTATAGGGCCCCACCCCTCTGGTTCCCAGCATGTGGTAGGGTTAGGGTACTGACTAGCCTGTCACCCACTCCCTGCTCCTGAGAGCTCCCAGGTACTCCTACCATCTTTCCAGCAGCAGAAAGGTTAGGACTTAGGCAGCAACAGGTGGGCCTGGGCACCAACTGAATGTGGTGGCCCCCATTACAGGGCTCCCTAGCAGCTCAGCTTGGGTCCATCTGAGCTTGAAGAGGGACCATTCACTTGGGATAAGGGCTTCTCTGCCAGCTCTGTGGTTTGAGGGTCAATGAACATAACGCTAGTTAAATGTGAGTTTACCCCTCTTAGAAGGAAAGAGGCCTCCGGGGTGTTACACATCCTCACTTATCTTTCTCTCCTGTGTTCTTCTGTGTCAGCTACAGCTGTCAGTGGCCTCAAAACTCAGCATGCATAATAGTTATTTTCTCTCTTGTATATAGGTCTGTAGGCCAGGTGGGTTGTCTTTGTCCCTGGGGATGGACTAGAAGGACAAAATGAGGGAAGTGGAAACTCCCCCGGATAAACAGGCTCTTACATCTGTATGCTGTCTGCCATGCCCAGTGTCAGGAGGAAGACATGGGGTACGTTCCTCCATGCCAGAGCCCACTTTGAAGATGTAGGAATAGGCACCATGGAAGGTGGAAGCATCTTAGGGCTTCTGGAAATTCAGTCCCATCAACAAGGAAGTGTGTTGACAGCCAGTGGCTATGAGGAAAGCTGGCAACTCTTTCAGATCAGGTGAGCTTTTGAAGGTCAGCTCTTAATCTACAATATTCTCTTTTAAGTTACTCTTGTTACTGATGTTGAATGGGAAAACAGCAAATAACAATGGTTTGTTGAAGAATGAGCCAAGTCAAAGGATATGGGACAAATCCTCTTAAGCACTGTGACCAAAAACAAATAGCTCCAGTGGGGCAGGCCAGGTCAGGCTTTGAGCCACAGCGGTGCTGCACGACCCTTGCTAGAGAAGGAACACAAAGCAGCTCCAGTGAGCTCAAGGGCTTTACTCCTTCCTTTAGTGTTCTGTGTCAGTCTGCAGGTCTCAGTTGTGGCAGTTACTGAATACATTGATGCAGACCAAGACAAGGATGGTAGTATCAACGTGTCGGGCAAGTAGATATATCCCAGGAATAATTATGATTACAAATAGAGTTTATCACCAGATGGTAGTGGAACTCTCCTTTAATCCCAGCACTCAGGGGAAGGTGCATCTCTGAGTTCAAGGCCAGCCTGGTCCACAGAGTGAGTTCCAGGACAACCAGGGCTACAGGAGAAATCCTGTCTTAAAAAACAACAACAAAAACAATAATAATAAAAATTCATGTTTGCTAACTTTTCCAAATATTTACTATAAATTGTACCATAAATACTGTTTGGGTTGCCTGACTCTTTAAAAATACATCTGTTAGTGATTTCCTTTGACCTAAGGGCCTCTTAAAGTATTGTTACTGAATATACAGTATGTGCTGTCTGCTGAGGCATCCTGGGAAGCTTTGACCTAAGTGATCTAGGCATGGCCTGGACTGGGGTCACATATCCTGCCTTCCTTGATACTCATTTCTCAATTGTATCATAAACGGTTCCTAAGAACTGTTGCCATATAATAAGCATTTTACTTGTATTTAATACATGAGTTTGCACTGACATAAGATCAGCAGTGGGAAGTGGGAAAAGCACTTGCCATACCAACCAGAGATCTGTTTCCAAACACATAAATGTTTGGAAAAGAATTGACTCAAGGGGGGGGTGGTAGAGAATGAACATTTCTCCAAAGCAAGATCCAAGATCCAAGACTCAGCAACTGATCCTACCATTTTCATAGTGGTGCCACTGAGTGCCGCTATCTATAGGGCAAGTCTCCCCACAGATAAGAGATAAGAAGGGAGAAGACTTTGAACCCACTAAGGACCAAGGGTCAGGAGCCACTTACATCACAGAAGGCAGCTAGTATTCCATCCACACTTACTTATTGAAGAACACAGTGACATGCAGGAATGACTTGGGTCCAGACAACCTTGACCTCTATCAGGAGTGTCTAACCTTGTAACACTGACATGACAGGTCTATAAATGTGTTGGGCTGCATCCACAGATGCCCTGGGATGCATGCAGGCCAGAGGATGCATTCTGGACACACCTGTGCCTGTACCTAATGCCAGTCTATAGCAAATAGAGGAGATGGAACAGAGTGAAGACACACAGCTGAACCAGATTGGGAAAAGCACCCGCTAAGGACGTATCACCAATAAATTTCATCAAAGAGAAATGAGAGAGCATAGTAAAAAGAAACTGGAAATAAACTGATAACTATGATGTTGACATTTAGATCCTGTAAAAAAAAAATCCTGTTGATCTTATAAACATTTGACAAACTGCTTGAGACAAGTGACAAACCTGGAGGTATAGGCTTACAATCCCAGCTACTCGGGAGGTTGACATGGGAGTATCAAATTCCAGGTCAGCTTGAGCCGTACTGAGTTCAGTGACTTAGTGAGACTCTGTCTTAAAATGTTTAAAAACACAACAACAACAAAACAACTTAGCTCAGTGGTAGAGTACTTGCCCAGCATGTTCAAAATTGGAGGCATCCCCAACACACACAAAAGAGGCAACAAGTAGTTCTAAATTTAAGTCCCTCTTGTATTCAAAATTAATTATAAATTTTAAAAGAATGGAGACTGGCCAGGCAGTGGTAGTGCATGCTTTAATCCCAGCACGTGGGAGGCAGAGGCAGATGGATCTCTGTGAGTTCGAGGCCAGCCTGGTCTACAGAGTGAGTGCCAGGACAGCCAGGGCTATTAACAGACAAACCCTGTCTTGAAAACAAGAAAAAATAAAGACGAAGAATGGGGTCCTAAAGCCAGGCATTGGTGGCGCACACCTTTAATTCCAGCACTTGGAAGGCAGAGGCAGGCGGATCTCTGTGAGTTCGAGACCAGCCTGGTCTACAAGAGCTAGTTCCAGGACAGCCTCCAAAGCCACAGAGAAACTCTGTCTCGAAAAACAAAAAAAACCAAACAAACAAAAAAGAATGGGTCCTAGTGAATGATGAACAAGTGTATGAATTCCAGGTTTGGTTAATGGCACTGGGGTTACACAGTTTTCCATGAGCTTCGGTGTGGCAGGATAAGGTTGGCAGGGTATCCCTGAGTGATAGATATGCAAATTATCCTTCATTTCTATGGTGTGGATATATTGAAATTTTCCATAACTAATTTTTAAATTTCATAAATCAAAAAACCCTGAGGAACCTGAATCTGTGTTCCTGGGATGTGGTCACTCATATTTCATTCAAAATAATTTTTTTATTTCCTTAAAAGGGAAAAATATTGAGTCATACAAGCAGATACACTGTGGCCTCCAAAAAATAGACTTGAAAATGAAAACTCAAAATTATTTAACCTTGAGATTTTCATCATAGAGAGCTCCTTGGATATGGAGAGGTAGAATCTGGCAAATGATAAGCAGGTGGGGTCTGGGCATAGGGAATGTAAGTTTGATGACAGGGAGTAGTGCAAACTGATGAGGACCAAGGGGAAGGGAATTTCTTTTCCTTTTTAAGATTTATTTATTCTGTATACAGTGTTCTGTCTGCATATGTCCCTACAGGCCAGAAGAGGGCACCAGATCTCATTACAGATGGTTGTGAGCCACCATGAGGTTGATGGGAATTGAACTCAGGACCTTTGGAAGAGCAGTCAGTGCTCTTAACCTCTGAGCCATCTCTCCGGCCCTGGAAGGGAATTTCTTAATCAGCTGCTGTCAAGTCCAGACTCAGAGCTATTGGTTAGAGGTAGTGTTGGCTGCTCGGGAACTACTCTTGGGCTTTCCTGAGGCAGGGACCTCATCTCAGACCTTCCTGGGATAGGGTTGCCTCGCTAACCTCTGATGGGCATCCTTCCCTTCCAATCATAATGGACCCTAAGTGGTACTCCCACCCTCCCTGCCCATCAATCATGGTGGTTCCACCATCAAGATTTCCCAACCCCTGAGGCCATCCTAGGTCCCTGCTCCCCCTCAGCTTCTCCAGAGGCACCCGCCCACAGTCCACAGGGCTCCCAGAACACCTCATAAATTTGTAATCAGATGCTTGATCATATTATTCTCTGCCTTAAAATCTGTTGTCAGGTTCTCATTGTCCCTTCCATGTAATCCAATGCTTACCATAACCTACTGGATTCTAGCTCAAAGCCTTCCAGTCAACCTTGAGAGCTAGGTCCTTTCTTGTCATTCCAGTTTTGCTTTAAATGTGACCTCTTCTAGAGAAACTATACTCTCCCTGCAGTCCCCATCCCCATCCTCAACACAGCCCCACTTCCATCTTCTCATCGTCCGTGTCGACTATTTATTTTAAGCTGCTCAGCAGTGTTTGCTCTTGTTTCCAGCAAGCTTCTTGGGAACAGCAGCTTCCTGAGTCAGAGACCATGCCTGTCCTGTCTGTGGAAGTCTTGCAACAGACAAAGTTGCAAGATGGATGAGCAACAAGCTCGTCCACTCTGCTCCTTCCAGTGCTGCCTGAAAAGCGTCTTTTGTCTTGGGACAAAGAGAAACCCGGCAGAGAGCAATAGGGGTACCCAAATCGCACCTGCCACTTGGGTGACACTGGCCAGAAGCTTCCAGGGGTTTGGTAGCTGCTATAGCCCCAGGGCCACATCTTCTCAGCCACTGAGTACTTCTCGGGGTCAATGTGCACTGGTCCCATAGACATAGCATCCAGGGGGACTGGAGAGAGGGCCCAGAGGTTAAGAGCACTAGCTGCTCTTCTAGAGGACCTGAGTTCAATTCCCAGTACCCACATGGCAGCTCACAACTATATGTAACTCCAGATCTGACACATTTACACCAATGCATATAAAATAAAGTTAAATAAATTATTAGCTGGGGGGGGTGGCGCATGCCTTTTATCCCAGCACTTGGGAGGCAGAGGCAGGTGGATCTCTGTGAGTTCAAGACTAGCCTGGTCTACAAGAGCTAGTTTCAGAACAGCCTCCAAAGCCACAGAGAAATCCTGTCCCAAAAAAACAAAACAACAAAAAAAGGGGGGGTGGGGGGCGAAGGCAGCAGCCATGTCTTTGCCATGACATTGCTTTGTTCCCAGAGCAGGCCCCAGGTACTCCTCAGTTCAGCAAGCTGCCCTTGGCCCAGGACCCAGTATGGACTCAACAGCCCTGCTCACTGGGATGCCATTAACCCAGAGTGGAAAATTCCCCAGAACAACAGCACCTGGTTTGCTGAGCCCACAGCTGCCGCACGGTTGCGCTTGGCCAGTCATGCTGAGCCCAGCATACCAGTGAGCAAATTCAACTAACTGTATGACATGTGAGACCAATGGCACCCCAGACAGACCCTGCTGAGGCCCTCCCCCCACCCCCAACCCGCTCTGCCACTACTACTGCCATCTTTCTGCCCTCTGCTTTTAGGGAACATGGAAATGGAGAAAAATGCTGCAGAAATCAGTGCCCTTGCAGCCCAAGTCCACAGGCAAGAAGAGAGCTCGTGTTCCCAGTGGGCACATGACACAGAGCTGTACCTCTGAGGCGTACAATAGTAGTCTAGGTGCTAATGTTATACCATCCAAGTCACATTGCATGTCTTGTCCCACTTCTATTCTCTCTCCACTAATGGCATCTGACACACACACTTGTGACTGACCAGTCCTGTCCTCAGAGGGAGTGTGGTGGTTAGAGTACGAATGGCCTCCATAGAGTCATATATTTGAATGCCTAGCCATCAGGGAGTAGAGTTGTTTGAAGGGATTAGGATTAGGAAGTATGGCCTTGCTGGAGTTAGTGTGGCCTTGGAGGAAGTGTCACTGGGGTGTGTTTTGAGGTCAGGATGTAGCTCTCGGCTGCTTCTTCAGGACCATGTCTGCCTGCGTGCTGCTGTGCTCCTCACCATGAGTGAGGGACTCAACCCCTAAAACTAACCAAACCTCCAATTAAATTAAATGGTTTATTTTATAATAATTGTCTTAGTCATGGTGTCTCTTCACAGCTATGGGACAGTGACTGTGACAGGGTAATCTAAGCTCACAAGAGCTGAGACATGGGTAATGTACCTGGAACACCACAGAACACCAAAACCCACTGGGTGGAGGGAGGGCCAGAAGACCCTTCCTGTGTGAAACGGCAATGCTCTGGCACAGATGGCAGTGTAAGCACCTGGCGTGAGGCATGACAGCTCAGTCCTCTGTTCTTAGGCTTCCGTGTCTGCAGTCCAGGTGGGGGACAAGCAACCCAGGGTAACTGCAGAACAGCCAGGCATGGTTATAACATGAGAGAGGGTGAAGGAGGCCCCTAGACAATGCTCAGATGGAGATGCTTCGAGAAAGCGGAGACCCTAATGTGGTCCCCTGGGTAAATGGCAGAGAACTGTAGGGCAACAGATCCCATCAAGGAGCCATGTGCCCATCTCTGTGGAGCGGTAGGCTTCCTACACCTAAGCTTGAGTCTGGTACTGGCCAGCAACCCTGAGGCTGATGGCAGTGCTGACAGTGCCTCTTTGAATAATAACCACCACAGTTCTAGCCACTGCCCTCAGGCTAGTGCATGCCACTTTTTGTCTAACTGCACTCAGTCTTTCCTGGGAAAGGCAGTTGATCTTAGACTTACCCACACTAGCCCTGTCCTTAGCTCTTCTGGTCTCCACTCTTGTTTTTTGTTTGTTTTGTTGTTTTCATTTTGGGGTGTTTTGTTTTGTTTTTCTAGACAGGGTCCTGTCCTAGAACTTGCTCTGTAGACCAGGCTGGCCTCGAACTCACTGCCCAAGTGCTGGCATTAAAGGCATGAGCCACCATCACCACCCAGCTTTGTTTTGTTGTTTTTTAAAGACAAGTTTTCTCTATGTAGACCTGGATGGCCTGGAATTTGCTATGTAGAGCAGGCTGGCCTTGAACTCACAAAAATCCACCTGCCTCTGGCTCCTAAGTGCTGGAATTAAAAGCATTTGCCACCACATCCAGCCACTCTATGCTCTTTGAAACAGAGAAGCAATGTAGCCCCAGCACAGGCAGTCCAGCCTCAGGTATGGGGAGACCATGGTTCCCCAGGTCCCAGAGTTCTTCTCTCATACCCCTTGTCCATGAGCTGTCATGTTCTCTTTTCTTAATTAACCTTTTTTCTGGGTTGGGGACATGCACACAAGACATGTTTTCCGGGGAAGCTTGTGGGAGATTCAGCATTTCACAAGGCCACATGATAGCCTCCCCCAGGGCTTGCAACAGGAAGCTATCCCAACTCCCAACCATCACTGAGGTGGCCTAAATAGAGCCCCTTGGCCTAGACATAGCTCTATGCTCCAGCCACAGGTCTGGGTACTACTCTTGGGGTCAAGTGGAGTTGAAGCACAGAGTTCCGGCTATGCAATGGGAAGGCACCCCCAGAGGAAAATGGAAAAGGCAGCTGCCCCGTGTCAACCTCCAGATGGAGTCACACAGCTCCGAGGAGCAGCATTATTCTCCCATCATCTCGACATGCATCCATGGCCACTCACCTTGCAAGCGTGGTATTCTGTACTCTCAACTTTGTGATTTGTGTGGAAGCATAGCTGCCCATCAGGGGTTAGCACTTCTCCACCTTAGGCAGGAACAGCAAGGGTACCTGGGAGTTAGGGTAGGTCCAGCTTTTTGTCTTCTGGCCACCCAAAGCCAGAGTTGGCCAGACATGTAGATCTGTGGGGCTGCTGGGGCAAGGCAGTAGCTCTGCCTTCAAGAACTCATCAGAATAGCTCCTTCCCTTGCTTGGGCTCCCGGGGGAAGGGTTAATCTCCAGAGGCTCCTCAGCTCATCAATGGCAGCAGCAGCAAGCTGGAAAGATGAGCTGGCAGGGAGGCCACACCACTCTCTAGACATCTTGACAATTCCCATTTACATGGTGGCTGGTTATGAAAGAAGAAAATGGAGTGTTAGTAGTATTAGTTATCTTAGCCCATAGGTACTACCTGTTTTTTAATTTTTATCACAATCCTGACACACTGGCTCATTTGTTCTGTTTGCATCCATGAGATCCTGGACCACTGGACAGCAGAGGCATAAATGATGCAGCAGTTTTCAACAGAGTAGACAGAGAGCTCTGTGAGTGAGCCTGACGTCAGCAGCTCCAGATGGAAGGAGGTTCCAGACTTCAGTGTGGGAAGTGGGGGGCCCTTGAATTCAGGAGGCAGGGTTCAGAGCACTAGAGTGGCTACAATTAACAAAGTATTGGAGAGAAAGCTGGTACACAGAGCTTAGTGCTCCAGGGTCAGGGTCTACATAAGGCTCCCTTAGCCTATAGCTGGGACTTAAACCTTGTTAACACTTAACCATGTTAACACTCTTGTGTCAAACCACACAAGAGTGAGGCAAACATCAAAAAACGGGAGTTTTGTTTTGTTTTTGTAAAGCAACAGATGAACAGTCTCCAGAGTCAAAGCAAAGCAGGATAAATACAGTTTGGGTACCCACAAGCCACCTTACCAACTCACACATAGTGAGAAGACTACCCAGAGGGGTGTCGCCTTAGAAATGCAGTAAATTAACTGTAGACTCAAGGCAGCTCTGCACTACCTGAGTAAACTTAGAAGCAAGTTGCTGAAGATCAAGGACACTGCCTGCCAAGCCAAAACCCAACACTGCTTAAGGGAACACAACAAACTTCGTCACCAACAATTTAAAATTCTAACACCCAATAAGAGGAGCAGGTCATTAGCAAGAGTCCTCTCAGGAACCCAGAAATCACGAAGTTTTTCAAACAACAGAGGCTTCATATAGAGGACTATTAAACGTGAACAGAAAACTAGGCAAAAACAAAAGAAAATTCCACAGAACACCTCAGGATGGAGACAGGTGCCAAGGAAAGGATTCAGATTTGGCAAAGGGGATGACATTGCTCCCCACTGAATGATGAAGATCCTTGATGGTTGTAGGCGATGGCAGGTGGCCATGAACTCTCTACAAAAATGCTAGTAAAATTAGTCAGAAGTTTGTTAATAGGAGTGGTGGAAAGACAAAGACACCCTGGTATGGGGAGAAGTTTACGTATAGAAATCCAATATGAGATGGCTGTAGACATCTTGGCTGTAACTCTCATCATGCCTACTGTGTGATCCTGTCCCTCAGTCTATCCTCTACAGGATGAACAAGGTTGTTAAGATGGCCATCCACCAACATCCAAACTGTTTCTTCTTTTTTCTTAACCTTTATTTATTTTATTATTTGATGCATATGCATGTGTTTGTATGGGCACATACACCAGTGCATTTAAATGCCTTCAGAGGCCAAAGGAAGGCAGCGGATCCCCTGGAACTGGAATTACAGCAGTTGTCAGCACTGGATATTTGGCTGGAACCACATCTGGACCCTCTGGAAGCAGTAAGCTCTCTTCATTGCTGCATCATTTCTTAACCCCTTAAACATTTTTAAATGTTTAGTTATGATCATCGTGTGTATAAGGTATGTATGGGTACAGGCATGGATATGCCTCACTGTACATGTGAGTGTCAGTACAAGTCACAGGAGTGGTTCTCTCTTCTCCTCCCAGGAAATGGATCAGGTTGGTAGACCTGTGACAAGTCTACCCACTGAACCATCTAGCTGGCCCTGGACTGTTTAACTGACCTTTGAATATGTCAAGAGTCTTTGAGAAAACCAAGAGTGTTTTAGTTGGCTGCAGCTTCTTTGTTTAGCTTGGCATATAAGCTCCTCTTCCTGCCAATAGCTTTCCAATATCCAGGGCACACTTCTGCTTACTAAAGTCTCCAATAAATTGGGCTTTGTAAGCTGGATATGGTGGTACAAACCTATAATCCCAGCACTTAAGAGGGTGAGGATTTCCATAAGTTTGAGGCCAGTCCAGTCCACATAGTGAGCATCAAGCTGTCCACAGCTCTAAATTTAGAGCTCAAAACAATAAAATAAAATAAGACTTTCTGCAGTCCTTCAGGGCACCAGGCTAGGCCCTCTGTATGTGGGAGACAGTTGTGAAGCTTGGACTAGCTGAGGGGCCCCTGGCAGTAGGATACAAACCTGGTACATGAGCTAGCTTGTTGGAGCCCACTCCCTATGGTGGGATGCTATGCTCAGCCATATGCTCAGCTCAATGCATAGGAAAGGAGCCTGGCCCTGCCCCAAACTATTGTACCAGACTTTATTGACTCCTCATGGGAGCCCTTACCTGTGAGGAGGAGTGGACTGGGGGTGGGCTAGGGGGAAGGTGAGGGAGGTAGGAGAAGGCAAGGGTGGCGGGAGGAGGTGTGGGAAGGAGAACTGTGGTTGGAATGTAAAATGAAATCAAAAATTTTTTAAATGGGAAAAAAAGACTTTGTGCAGTCCTGAAACCACCTCTTCCATCTTTGGCAGGTTGGTTCTTCTTCTTCTTTTTTTTTTCTTTTCTTTTTCTTTTTAATGATTTGTATATTTTTTACTTTGTGTGCATTAGTATTTTGCCCCTATATATGTCTGTGCAAGGATGTCAGATCCCCTGGAGGTAGAGTTACAGACAGTTGTGAGCTGCCATGTGGGTGCTGGGAATTGAACCCAGGTCCTCTAAGAGCCAGTGCTCTTAACCACTGGGCAATCTCTCCAGCCTCATGCGGGTTAGTCCTTACACACTAGGATCAGCGTTTCCGAAACTCAGAATTTACCAGAAGCCAGAAGCCAAATGAGTCATATGGAACATGCCTAAGGCAACCCCGGGCCCCACATGCCAGTCTGAATCAGAGGACAGCATTAACAACACACACAGAACCAAAAGAAACCCTTTCTCCTAGCGCCCTCCACTGATAAAGACTAGCGTCAGCAAGCAATGCAGGGAACGTTCAGAGCTGAGAGGCCACAAACTAAGAATTGCTATATAAATTTTCAGAGGAAACACAACTCAGAGTCATAAAGCACTTTTTAAAACTCACTGAAAGCTGATCTAGAAATGAGAGTTAAAGGACCAGCATGGAAACTAAGTGTAACTATGTTTCATATATTGGAGAAGGTAGAGGAGTATGTGAAAGTATGAAAGGCCCAACTGGACTCCTTCAGAGAAAGTGTAATATCTGAAATAGAAAAAGAAGGCACAGGGCCTGGAAAGGTGACTCAGCCATTAAGAGCACTGGTTGCTCTTGCAGAGGGCCTGGGTTTGATTCCCAGCACCCACACAGTGGTCAGCAGCAACTAACTCCTGTCCCAGGGGATCTGATGTTCTCTTCAGACCTCCACAGCGACCAGGTACACAAGTAGTGAACAGACATACATAAGGAAAAGCATTCACTGGGCGTTGGTGGCGCACGCCTTTAATCCCAGCACTCGGGAGGCAGAGGTAGGCGGATCTCTGTGAGTTTGAGACCAACCTGGTCTACAAGAGCTAGTTTCAGGACAGTTTCCAAAGCCACAGAGAAACCCTGTCTCGGAAAAAAAAGAAAAAAAAGAAAAAAGAAAAAGAAAAAAAAACTGCTCTATTCTAGTCCTTAGCACTTAGAAACCTCTGCATAAGAGCCAAATGGGAGAGCCACACAAAGCACAGGGGCAAGATGAGGCAGAGGCAGAGTAAGATAAGAACCCTGTGTGTCTGAGGAGGCCACGGGGGTAGCACAGACCACTGGAGGCAGGGGTGTAGATACAGCTGTGGGCTGCACCTGCTGTCTGTGGGTCTATATCTTCTGGCACCATGTATTTGCTGAGACCTCCTGAGAGGCCCATCTTGCCCATACTAGAACTAGCTATGTACACAATAAATCATCTCCTCTACTGTCTTCACTGAAGACTCAAACCTACAGTCAACATTATACTAAATGGGGGAAATTACAAGTATCTCCTCTAAAATTATTAACAAAACAGGCTATCAACCTCTTCACTATTATTCAATATAGTAGCTGAATTCTTAACCAGAGCAACAAAGCAAAAGGAACACAAACAAGAAAAAAATTACCTCTACTTACACAAGATGATTCAATCGTAATGGATCCTAAAAACTCCACTAGAAAACACTTAGATCTGGTAAACCTTTTCAGAAGAGTAGGATACAACAACAGCATAGAATAATCAGTAACTCTTCTTTACACCAATAGCAGACATGCTGAGGAAGAACTCAGGAAAACAGCCAGGTGTGATGGCGCACGCCTTTAATCTCAGCTCTCAGAAAGCCGAGGCAAGCAGATCCCTGTTGAGTTTGAGGCCAGCCTGGTCTACAGAGTGAGTTCTAGGACAGCCAGGACTGTTACCCAGAGAAACCCTGTCTCAAAATCAAAAAAACAATTCCATTTGCAATAGCCTCATAAATAAAATAAAACAAAATGCCTAGGAATAACTGAGACTAAATAAACCAAGAAGGTAGAAAAACCTCTGTAACGAAAATTTTCACACTAAAGAAGTTGAAGACCTTCCATATTAATGGATCACAGAATCAATGTCATAAAAATGGCTGTATTCCTGAAAGCAATCTATAGATTCAATGCAATCCCCTTCATGATTCTAATGATATTCTTCACAGAAATAGGAAAAACAATCCCAAAATTCATACAGAAGCACAGAAAATCCTGAGCAGACAGTGCAATCTTGAGCAGAAAGAACAGGAAGTACCACACTGACTGATTTCAGACTATGTTCTAGAGCCACATACACACACACACACACACACACACACACACACACACACACACACAGATAGTTTCCTATCTCTTATCTTCCACAAAAATCAGTTCAAGCCAGGCATGGTGGCACACACCTTTAATTCCAGCACTCAGAAGGCAGAGGCGGAGGCAGGCTGATCTCTGAGTTGAATCTAGCCTGGCCTACAAAGTGAGTTCCAGGACAGTCAGGGCTACACTGTGAAACCGTGTCCTGAAAACTAAACCAAACCAAACCAAACCAAGCAGCTCTGCATGGGCTGGGGACGGCTTAGTGGGTAGAAGTATTTGCCACACAACCATGAGGATTTCTATTTGAATCTTCAGGACCCACATAAAAGCCAGTAGTGTAAGCATCCTGAATCCCAGAATCCTGCATGGAGTCAAGCAGTAGAGAGAGAACTCCCTGGGAAACTCAGGAGCTATTCAGTGGAAAAACAATAAAGAAACCCTGCCTCAAAGTGGAAGGCAAGACCAACACCTGAGGTGATCTGATTTCCACACATGGTGCTTCACACACACATGCCTGTGTTCACACCTAGGTGTATACACACATATGCCTGCCTTCACACTCAGGTGTACACACACATGCCTGCCTTCACACTCAGATGTATACACACACTCCTGCCTTCACTCTCAGGTGTATACACACATGCCTATGTTCACACGCTGGTGTAAACACACATACCTGCACTTGCACACAGGTGTATACACTCACATACCTGCACTTGCACACAGGTGTATACACTCACATACCTGCACTTGCACATAGGTGTATACACACACAAACCTGCATTTGCACACAGGTATATAGACACACATACCTGCACTTGCACACAGGTGTATGCACAAACATACCTGCACTTGCACACAGGTGTATACACACACATACCTGCACTTGCACACAGGTGTATACACACACAAACCTGTGTTTGCTCACAGGGGTATACACTCACATACCTGCACTTGCACACAGGTGTATACACACACATACCTGCACTTGCACACAGGTGTATACACATAGGCCTGCACTTGCACACAGTATGTACACACATGCCTGAAATCACACACAGGGTACACACACAAACCTGCATTTGCTCACAGGTGTACACACAAACCTGCGTTTGCTCACAGGTGTATACACACAAACCTGCGTTTGCTCACAGCGGTATAAACACACAAACCTGCGTTTGCTCACAGGGGTATACACACATTCCCATGTCTTAACCCATGTGTAGTAGCCCCACGTTTCGGCACCAGTCTGTTGTAGCTCATCTTTGTGGGGCTTCGGTTGGATCCAGCTGATTCGCCCTGTTTGTACCTGAGAGGGGGAGTGTGGATTGAAAAACAGCAGGTAAAGACGCTAAGAAAAAGACAGAGACACAGGACAGAGTCGGGAGGGAAATCCAGTGAATATTGAACACCCCAAGTTTATTCTTCACCATTCTTAAATACTTTAACCAAAAGGGGAACATGGCAAAAGACTTCTTTATCATGTATAAGGAACAGTCTTTCTTCCCTTAATCCTCCAAACATTTGGTAACCACACCTTAGATTCAATTTCCCATTATCCAGCCTTGAGGGTCAAGAGTAACCACATCTCAGACCAAGTCTGTTGTTATTTAGATAAGATATCCTCTACCAAGATCCAAACATCCTACAGTAGCCATGCCTTAGACCTTTAGGTTTTATGACTTTTATGACTTTAACCTTGGAAGACAGTTTTGAACTCTCTGACCTTGAGCCAAGGTGAAGCAGAGCTATCTTTGTGGGTCCTCACACTCCTGCATTTGCACACAACTTCATACACACATTCCTGCATTTGCACACAGGTACACACATGCGCACACACACACACACACACACACACCACACACACACACACACACACACACACACCACACACACACACACACACACACACACCACACACACACACACACACCTCTACACAATTAGGAGAATGAAGAGAGCATACAGAAGACTGGGAGAAAATTGGTTCCAATGATACACCTAGCAGGGGGTTAATATCTAAAATATATAAAAAACTAAAAATTAAATAATAAAACCCCACTCACTCCAAATCAGTCACTAGATGAGTAAATTAATTAAGCAGAAAGACCTCAGAAGTACACGGAGGACCCTGCTCACTCTGCCACTTCAGGACTGTGTGAAGTCCTGTGACCACAACTCCAGCAGATCCCCATTCTGGCCCCGACCCCACCTACCTCCACCTTAGGACAGAGCTGTGTCCTGTGCCCTACCTTCACAGAGCACCACCTATTCTCATGGGACCCCAGCCTCTGCCACCCAGCCTGTAGAAACCAGTGAGTTCTCTGGACTTCTGGAGGTCAGCAGCAGGAATCATCACAGGAGGCAGGCTTGCTCCTGACTCAGAAGCTGCACTGGGTCCAGCTCAGCTGAAACCACAGAAGCACATTCACAGAGTGGCCCCAAGACTGAATCCCAAACACCATTCAGTAGGTCCACACCTGACAGGTTGGGGTAAAAGCAAACAAATATCTAACCACCCACTCAACGAAGGCCAAGAAACACCACCAATGACCTGACTGTAGATCGCTAGGCCCTGTCACAAAAACACAACATGAATAACTAAAACAGTATTTCTCCTCCAGAAATTAGCACCTCCCACACCATAACGTCCCCTGAGAAAAACTATTTAGCCAATGCACAAGACAATGATTTAAAAATAGCAATTATACAAATGTTCAAGGAACTTGTCTTAGGATTTCTGTTGCTGTGATAATACACCGTGACCAAGTCAACTTAGGGAGGAAAACATTTATTTCATCTTACAGCTCATAGTCTGTCATCCAGGGAAATAAGGACAAGAACTGATGCAGAGGCCATGGAGGCATGCTGCTTACTTGCTTGCTCCTCGTAACTTTGTTACAGTACCCAGGACCACCAACTGGGGCAGCACCATCCACAGTGGGCTGGATCTTCCAACATCAATCATCAGTCAAGACAATGCCAGGTAGGGCTGTCCACAGGCCAACCTGGTGGGGCATTCTCTCAACTGAGGGTCACTCTTTTCAGATGACTTTAGTTTAAAACTGGTCATCACAGAACTGAAAGAGAACACGAATAAATGTCTGATTGAAGACTACAGAAACATAGTTGGATGAAATAAATAATAAAAACAATTCAAGATATGATAATGGAATTTAACAGAGATAATACTTTCTGAAAGAAAGTCAAACTGAAATAAAACTCTAGATGAAGAACTTAGATGTCAAACAAAACTCAAAAGAAAGATGTACCAAAAGACTGGATTAAGTGAAAGAAAGATTATCCGGTCTGGAAGACAAGGTACAAGAATGAATCACACAGTAAAAGAAAAGGATCAATCTTTAAGAACCCACAAAGAGAACATGTGGGAACTTTGGGGTATTATAAAGAGACGAAGAAGAAGAAGAAGAGGAAGAGGAAGAGGAAGAAGAAGAGGAAGAGG